GATTATATATTTACCTGCTCTAAGTTAGATTTTGTATATATTGTGTATTAATGTTTTTGAATTTTATTGTACCCTAATGTATCAATGAAATGTTTTATGGACCGAGGACATACATTGAGCTTTCTTTCGTTTTCAAGTATCTTTCCTGGTAAAATATTTTATAAATAAATATCAGCCCACTTTTTACAATTTAAGCACAATATATAGTCAAACTAAAATATCAAATCATAGATGCATGTCCCTGATGTCATGGCAAGGGTGCATAATTTATTACACTATGGAATATTGTTCTTTAATGTAATTTGTGTAGTGCATTAAGGACCTACCGGCCTAGCAGAGATGGTATTGTCAATGTCAAAAGGGGTTAGTCTGATTGGAGGTAAAAAGGGGTTACATCTTTTGAAACTGGGAGCCCCACAGAGGTCAGATGACAGAAGGGGGTAGTGTGAATTGCATAAGAATGTGAAAAGGATTTAACCATATGGATGTGAATTAATCGAGGCTCTGCAGGGTGTGAAATACTACACTTTTAAAAGCCTGAATGTCTAGCTGGCTTCAGCCCATTTGGCTGAACATTGTAATTTATGAGCCTTGTTCCAGTAACATATGCAAAGAAAAGGCAGGAAAAAAAAAAAAACATTTACCCCACCAAATATTTAAGCCTAATTTGTTATATTTGGAATGTGACAAGCGCCATCTTCTAAACATGCCCAAACATGAGTGGCCCAACTTGACCATAGGGGTAGGAATTGTGATGTCCGCCATATTGGGTCGCAAGTATGGCATGCAACATCTATAGAATGGAAAAAATAAATTTACAGATGCAATTATGATTTGTGGCTGGCACATAAGAGAAGATAGAGCCAAATGTTTCCATTTGGGTTAATGTGGATCTGGAAGCAAGGGGGTGGTCACTTTGTGTCTATAGATACGCCTTAACTCCATCTCTGGGTGAGGCGTGGTAATCCACAGGGTATATCTCTAATGAGACTGAAGGTGGCAGAGTACTTGCTTGGGCCCAGAATCTAATTGTGAGTCACCATCTTTCCTAGCAGAGACCCCCTGTGGCATAAGTATTTTCTTTGAAAGAGCTGAGTAAGTGATTAGGACTCTTAATTTATACTTTGTTTTAATCTAAGTAAGTTGGTGTAAATAATTGGTTTATCATCTATTTTTTGTATGCACTGACTTTTTTGGTCATAATAAATATTCCTTTATTAAGTTTTGCCTTGGTCTGGTAAAAGAATCACGTTATCTGAAGAAACCAATTAGTATTTTGCAGTTACATAGCTATTGTGCCAAGTAATATTTGGTGGGTTTTTATTATTGATTTACCTGGGGGACCAAGGCACCTCCATTTATAAATTGTCTTGGTGGTGGCAGTGTTAAAAATACTAATATGTTTAAATTGTGGTTGGTGCTCAGGGGGATTGTGTCATTATTTCCGGTCTAGTGGAGACAAATAGTGAGCTTTAACCCTTTCACCACCACAACTACGTCACGGACACTCTTGAAGTAGGGTGCATACGTGACACCTGATACTATGAGAAGGGGTGACAGGAACAAGAGATTGCTTTATAGGGAAGCTTTAGATTTTGAAATTAGTCAGGCTTAGCCCTAGCGGTCTAAATTCCAAGTTACTCCTTTACTTTAAGTATTGATTTTAATTTTTCCTTGTGGTTTTACTTATACTCCGACTTGTTTTGTCCAAGGCATTATTGTTAGATACGTCGTATGTAATGCCATGTGGTGTTCATCTGAGGTTGTATTTACCCACATTTTAAGACCTGCTAAGAAACACAATTGTTATGTCCTGATATGTAAAAACCATAGAATTCAAGAGGGTGTACTTTCTTTTTCCCACGACTGTATGTTAACCAACATTTAGTCTATGTTCTTCCCAGTATTCCTTAAGTCTTCTAGGGAAGACCATAGAGACTGTTTTCACTGTCTGACCCAAGGTGTATATATGGCTGAAGGACCCAAGTCATGCTAAAGTGATTAGTTGTTTTTTGTTTTACATGTATAGTTCATAAAAAAATAAAAATTAAAAAAAATTTGACCGTTAACCTTAAAGTACTATGTACGCTTTCACTTTATTACTTGTGTATTTTTTTTTTTTATAGTTAATTCATGGGTGCACATCTGCACTTTATTATACGATTTATACCTAGCGCTATTATCCAGTTTTTTACATTTGATTTGTCTTATTCAAGACCTCCTGTGAATCAGTTATTTTGTCCAAGGCTTTCAACTGTTTTAGAAGGTCTATTGAACCTATCCTTGAAGACTTTACTTCTAAATGAATTTTGGAAATCCAGAGTAGAACTATACACATGTTCTCTCTGGATACACTATACAAGTTATGTCTCGTTCCTGAATTTCACCCTGAAGTTGTACCAAAACTTCACTTATCCAAAATATATAATCCTCCATTCTATTTATCCTAATCCATCCTCAGAGGAAGAAAGCAGGTGGCACCTACTGTATGTTCATAGATAGAATCTGAATCATATACCAGTATGCAAGCCTTTGTCATTCTTTAAGAATCCAGGAAGGGTGATCAAGCTTCTACAGCAACACTTAGAAGGTGGGATAATTGTTGCCATCTCTAAAGTATACACCTCAGCATTATTTATAGCACCTTTTCATTTGGAAAAATAATCAACTAGAACCATTTATATCTTTTGGGCTTCAAAGGCAGAGATTTCAGCAAAAGATATACAGAAAGTAGTATTGTGTCCTTCTAGTAACACATTAATATCGGATCTAGAGAGGACTTCCAAGTTTGGCAAAGGAGTATTATCCTACACTACCTCTATTACATTTCTGTAGTTAGCAGCTGTGTGTCCAGCAATTCATTTGGGCTAGGGTATATCCCACTTGTGATGCTGCCATGGTTAGCCAGGAAAATAGAAAGTAATTCAGACTTTCTGACTTCTCATTTTGCATGGCAGCATCACTGGATCCCCCTCTTCTGCTTATGTAATTTTGATTTGAGACTGCTGGGACTGGGAGTAGTATTTATAACTTCTTTAAATTGTATTCTTAATTGTATTTTAAGCAGGTCTGTCATTCATTCTGTCAATTCCTCCTTATGTCTCCTGTATCTTAAATGATTAATCTCCTCCTTGATACTTCCTTTATGTATTCTCTTTTCTTTTTTTAATACCAAAGTGTGGCCATTTAGTTCTCTTCTACCCTTGATGTCTGCTGTTGGACCTTTAGTGGGATAGCTTACCAATGTGTGAATTGTGGACATATCTGATTGGCTACTGAAACAGAACCTAGCGTAAGTTCTGCCTGTAGTTACGTTTTGTTAACTGGAAGATATATAAAAAAAACAAAATAAAAAAAAACACTTCAAACACAGGGAGCTATATAGGAGCAAATTAGACCTTTATTTTTCTTTACAGAGCCACTTTAAAAAGTTACCATAAGGTTTAAAGCCCATTTGTGATGCTGCCACGGAAAATAGCCAAAAAGAGGAAAAAAAAATTAGAGTCTGAATTCAATTTTCTATTCTACACACTACTGTAAACTGATTACAGTCATACTTCTGTGGTTCAACTGGTGTCCAATGTTAGCATGGTTCAATAAATGCCCCCACCCGATTCTTTATCTTTAATAAGGACTTTTCCATTATGCAGAAAACAGTCCTGCGCATCTATGCAAATGACATCTACACAAGTCAAAGTTTTCACATCTTTAGCTCTTTTTACAAACACCATGAAAATAGCCTAAGCTGCATAAACGTAAATCCATTAAGCATTAGAGAAAACTCTAACAGTAAACCTGGCCACAATCCATTCATTTGAGGACGTGGTTGAATCGTACATACTCTAGGTCTAGGAGAATACTTAGAAATAGAGGATAACTATATGCTTTGCAGTAAAGCATTTTCAAATAACTACGCCACCTGAACCACTGACTCAGAACACCAGCCTAGCTTCTGCTAGTAATTTTACCAGCAATCCCTACTACCTTTTCTCACACTCCCCATCTTCCTCTGTTAGCATCAAGGGGATTAATCTGGCAGGATTTTAGGTTTAAGAGATCTCATTTGATTTATACCCAGTCATTTAATCCGTGATCCCACAGTATCCTTTAGATTGTAAACTCACAGGCTATCTAGCCATGCACTTTGTATGAGAGAGCTTCAATGGCTAGATCTCAGCTTACGTGCAGGGCCCTCTCTACCTTTTGTATTTGTCTGTGTATATTGTACGTCCTCCACTAATTGTACAGCGCTGCGGAATCTGTTGGCATAATAATAATAACTTTTTTTGTGTTCGGGCCCCATTAAATACCCTACTAAAAAAACAAAAAAGTTTAACTTCATTAAAAGATCATTTATACTGCCTGACACACATACTCCAACTTTAACAATTAAAATAAAATAAGCAGTAACTATGGCCGCCTTCCACTGATGATGATGATAACTATTCAGTCTTTTAGCAGCCTGCCAGAGTAACCTGCTCCACACACTCAGATTAAATAAAATGGCCGAGCTCGGTTTCACTATCTCATTTCCTAACACGCCACTGTGGAGCAGGCGGCAGCCTCCCTGACAATAAGTGACACAGCTCCTCTATCCTGCACCCTGACTGCTGACTAGCCCTGCAAAATGGAACAACGCGACGGAAGCCACGTCTTCAGCGGTCTGCAATCACCATGGCAACCATCTGGCCAATTGCACAGTACGTTTTAGGCCTCCTCGCCGCTTTTTTTTTTTTCCCTTAGGCCAACCTACAAAAGGTCGCGCCGATGACGTCACGCCAAATGCCCTATCACCGGGCGAGTATGAATGGCGTCTCGGGCACGGCTTGCTAAACTAACCAATAGGAAGCGGAATGGGAACTGACGGGTCCAATGATTTGCAGCTTCCGCCCGGACCTAAGCGACGAGAGCGCTTTGCTGTAGCCTCGGCCGAGCTGTAGCCAATCAAAACGCGGTAGAACGTCCTTCGGCGGACAGTGAGCCAATCAGAACTAAGGAGGGCGGGATCTGTCGATGTAGACTGACAGGTCAGCTAACCTATGCGTGTATTGCTCCACGTCTGCAGGACTGAGTAAAATGGACGCGGTGCTGCTGGTAAGTAGGGCCGCAGCTTCTGGAAAAGGGGAATAGTCCAGGAGCACTGGCAGCTGCTTCTCGGCACGGCAGCGGTAGTACTTTACGGTTGCCATCAAGCGCAGCCAGGCTGAGGTTTGACTGGGCATTACAAGTGCCATAGTGCCAGATACAGTGCATGTCAGAGAATGGGCATCACTGTACCAGGAAAATCAAACCTATAGCTTACTGTGTGCTGCGTAGAATAGGCCACAACCTCTGGCTATTATGGACTACATCTCCCATAGAGTTCTTACAGCCATAATGCAGGCCAAGCATCATGGGAGATGTAGTCCAGAACATCTGGAGTGCCAAAGTTTGCCTATAGAGTATTGTATGGGTGTATTGTAAGCTTGTTGATATACCTAATAATTCATGAGTGGATGCAGGGCTGCCATCAGGAGGTGACAACCATGACGGTTTTCACGGGCCTGGGGGGCCCGGACTGCACAGGTAATCCTCTGCTTGTCCGCGCCCCCCGCCCTCCAATGTGCATATTAAATATATATATGCACCTGTGGGCCCTGCTGACTTCCAAGCGGGGCCAGGGATATACTTACTTCCTTTTCCGGCACTCTCTCAAGCTGCGGCTGTAAAGCGTTGCCGCGACAACGCTTGCGGCACACAATGCATGCTGGGCTCGCTAATAGAGCCCGGAGAGGGAAGGTGCAGACTGCTGAGGCCCTCTTTGCTGGCCTAACCAGCCCAGCTGAGCCACCGGACCACCATGGAATCCAGTGTCCCCTCCCTGACTATAGGTAAGAGGCAGGGAGGGGGGGAATACATTTAAAAATAATGTAATAAAAATTTAACTGCAAAAAAAAAATACCCCCCAGCACACACACTATCAAACAGACATAAAGCATCCACTACACACATATCATCCACCACGCACACACATAGCATCCACTGCACACACATCATCCACTACACACACAGCATCCACCATATAAACACACAAACTGCATCCACCACACATCAACAAACAGACAAAATGCATCCACTACACACACACCGCATCCACCACATACACACAATCATCTACTACACAAACACACACAGCATCCACTTCGCAAACACACACATCATCAACTACAGAAACACACACACATCATCCACCACATATACACACAAACTGCATTCACTATACACACACTACATCCACTACACACACAATCTGCAGTCACTATGTACACACTAATTCCACTACACAAACACACACTCTACATTTATTACAAACTCTGCATTCACTATACACACAAACACTACATCCACTACACAAACACACTGCACTCACTATGCACACACTACATCCACTAGACAAACACACACTTGGCATTCACTATACACACAATACATCTACTGTACACACACTCTATCCACTACAGAAACATACAATCTGCTTCCACTATAAACACCGCATCCACTTTACTCATGCACTTTGCATCCACTATACACATTCTACAGCCACTATATACACACCAAATTCAGTACACATGCACTTCATACTTATAGTAAACTCAGGATGGGCCCTGTGGGTTGATCTGGGGGCGGACTTGGGGGCAGGCTCCCTGGGGGCCCAGACCTTGGGCAGCGTCAGGGGCCCCAAAATTTCTGGCGGCAGCTCTGAGTGTATGTATTATTGAATGAATACAATTGTAGTCATTAATTAAGTTCCCCCTTTTACCATGGTATTTCATGGGATTCTTGCTTTGTCAGGGCGCAGTTTAAAGGGATACTGTAGACACACAGGACCACTTCAGCTCATTGAAGTGCTCTGGGTGCAAACTCCCATCACCCTTAACTCTGCGGTGGTAATTATTGCAGTTTTTATAAACTGCAATAATTGCCTCTGAGGGTTAACTCCTCCTCTAGTAGCTGTCTACCAGACAGCCACTAGAGGGACTTTCGTATTGAAACTGACTTTTGGTCCGTTATCTGCCACTGGACGTCCTCAGGCTGTGCATGAGGATCTCCAGCGTCAGGTTTTCCCCATAGGAAAGCATTGAATAATGCTCTCCTATGGGGAGATCCTAATGCGAGCACGGCCATTACCGCACATGCGCATTAGGTCTCCCCCGTCGGCGGGGGAGGAGCGTGGGTAGAGCTGAGAAAGCGTCCAGGGACATCGGCGCTGGACCCGGGTAAGTGACTGAAAGGGTTATGAACCCCCTTCAGTGCTGTAGAGGGGGCCTTGACAGAGGGGAAACCTATAGTGCCAGGAAAACGAGTTTGTTTTCCTGGCCCTATAGAATCCCTTTAAGGCTCTGTCATTTAGTTGAGGCAGTTATGCACCTGAGAAAGATGTCATCAGAGTCAAACCTTGTACTGTTCGTGACTTCCAGGGCACTGCCAAAAAGCACAAGGACAGAAAGGATTACCCTACTCAAACAACAAAACCGATATTTATATTTAGTAGTAAAGGAACACTTTAAGCACTATAATCACTGCAACCTGCTTTAATTGTTAAAGTGCCAGTAATGCCCTGACACACTCACCGTGTACGGTCAGACTGTCTAAAATTGGTTTGACAACTTAGCTGGGGCTCACTGGGTGCTTACTGCCCGCACATCTTAAGCATAGTAGGGACAGTCTCTTTGGTTGCGAGCATCAGCTGAAGGGCCAATGAGTGCAGCCTTGTGGGGCAGAAGAGGCATTGGCGGGCACCTTACTGACTGCATATTGGTTGTCAAACTGTTCTAAAACGGTTTGCTTACTTACAATGTGAGAGTGCCAGAGCACGCCGGGCACCATAACTATAGCAGGTTGTAGTGAATATGGTGCTTGGAGTGTTTATTTAAAGTTTGCCTAGTGTTATGTTCTTCATGTTTTTACTTTTTAAATAACACAAAATACTGTGGCCCAGTCACAGTTTTGCAATGGTTTGCTCTTTTATATTAGCCACTGCTGTTTGGTGAGCCTTGATCTATGTCAGATATTGGCCCGTTGCCATTCATTGGTTGAGAGTCAGCTGACCTCTCTCAGCCTGTGAATGACATTCTGTGCATAGACATATGCCCTTAATTGACATTAGCCAGCCCAGAATGCTTGTTCCGGGCTGGCTAATAATGCTGTTGGAGGTGGTCATACCCCCGGCAGCCAAGGGGTTAAACTCGGTATGTGTAGCATTTTCTTAGCGATATGCTGCACATACAGAACCCATAACCACTTTAAATCACTGAAGCGATTTTATGGTGCTTGAAGTAACCCCTTTAAAGAATATTGGACCTTTGCGGGGTAAAAAGCATAAATAAACAATGTAAATTTTAGCACACATAAAGCTATTCACTAAACTATTAAGTGAGAATTACAAATTTTAGGCCAAAATAGCCACATTGGGGTGAAGACTTCCAAGTTACCCGTTTTGAGCTGTGTGTTTTATGTGCTTCTTCCTCCAAGAGAAACAAAAACAGTCATCAGGGTTGATGACTTAACAGTAGGAAGATTGGGCTGCAGTGAGGGGTCCTGGCGTTGTATAAAGGTCAGTTGAATAAACATTTTAATTATTTAAAAAGAAAGTGGGGGGCATAAATTAAAACTTAAAGGAGAATTGTCACCTCAAAACTAATTTAATATAATAATTTTAATCAATCTTTGAAAGGACATTGTTTGTTTTTTAATACAGTATGTGTAACAAATAAATGAGAGAAACTCATCCCGTACCTTTTAGTTTATTACCTGATCCATCATGATCTTCCCTACTTCATTCCCTGCACAGAAGAAGGGAAGACCAGAGAAACTTTCAGTTTTTGTCTTTTAAAAAGTAATACATCTAATTAGAAAATAATTATATTTTTATTGTTCCTTTAATATGTATTTGTGAGGTGGAAACAACTTAAAAGCAGAAATCAGCACCTCTTATCCTGCAGTTTGGTCCCTTCATCTTAGAGCTTATAACAATGATTGTATGTGGCAGAACACAGATGATAATAATATGATTTATTTCTGCTTCTCCTAACTTGCAATATGTGCTATGACTTTGCCAGTACTGACCTGGGTTGTAATGTAATATGCCATGTATTTCCTTTTTTTCTTCTTTAATGTTTTATTCAATTGTTTACCTTACACAGAAATTACAGACACCCTATAAAGGGGCTCTGTCACCATCTAGTGTTTTTGCATAATTTTCAAAGCTCCCCAACAGTGACTGCTCCTCTAGCAGTGTAGTAGCAGAGGAAGGTGGGTTATAATTATCTGAACCTGTCCTTCATGGTCTTGCTCTAAATGTGAGTCCTCTTCAGCTCCTGGTCCTTCAGCTGCCGGTATCTTACGTCCTAGTTGTAATCGCGTCCATGTGAGTGACGAATCGGTCTTGACAAAGGGTAGCTCTGGTTTGTTTTTGTTTTTTTGTCAAGCGTAGGAAAAATAGTTGGGCAATAACTTTTCGTGAAAGTAAAATGGTTATAGTGCCTACACTGTACCTTTAACTTCAGTAGCAGCTAATAAATGTCACATGAATTTGGATTTTTATTAGGGAAGTATTTTTTTATTTTTTTTTATTTTGTATGTGTTTTTTTTTTTAACTTTTAATATTCAGGCATGTCAGACATATTTTAAAATACATTATTTCTGTTTAAGGAAAATTGATCATTTTGATTTTATTTTTTGGCGATGTAACTATCTGATGAGCAAAATAAATTGCATTGCTTTTTCATTCTACACGTGCTACACTTAGCCATTTACATTTAAGAAATATTTTACATTTTCTCAAGCTCTGTTTTGATAAACCCAGGCATCTAAAGAAAAAAAGGAGTTTGTTTTTTCCATATTCGCTTGTCTTAATAAAAAAAATAAAAAATTTAAATATGTATTTAACATAATCTGGGTTACAGAAATGATTGGGGGATAGATTAGTGGAGAAGCATACACGTTATTTTCACAGTGAGAGCACGCCAGCGTCCATAGGAAAGCATTATGAATGCTTTCCTATGTGACCGGCTGAATGCGCGCGCAGCCAGCCAACGGGGAGGAGGATCGGAGGAGGAGAGCTCTCCGCCCAGAGCTGGAAAAAGGTAAGTTTTAACCCCTTTCCAGAGCCGGGCGGGAGGGGGACCCTGAGGGTGGGGGCACACTCAGGGCACTATAGTGCCAGGAAAACGAGTATGTTTTCCTGGCACTATAGTGGTCCTTTAAGGCACTTCTTAAACGATTGAAGACTAGGGGGTAGTATGATGGCGTTAGGCAGGCTATTCCATAGGAAGGGAACCGCCCACGAGTTAGTTTTCTTTTGTGTGTGAATAATTAAATGTAAAACTGATGGGGAAACCTTAGTTTTTTTTTGTTGTTGTTAGTTTTTTGCTTGTAGTTTAATTTAATATTGTATTATGTTTACAAATATGGTATTGAAAGAAAACCCTATTTCTTCTTTTAAAAGTGATCTATAATATGTATGGGTGCACTTAAACAGGGTGAAATTGTGGTACAAAGAATGCATGGCAAAAGGCCTTGGTCACAAGCTTGTTAAAGTTGTTGTGGTGCATATAGTGTCCCTTTAACCCCTTAAAACCGATGGGCATACTATTACGCCCTATTCTAAACGGCTCTAAACGCTGCAGGGCGTAATAGTACGCCCTCCGTTTTTTTGTTACTTACCCGGTTGGGGAGACTCACCTGGGATCCCAGGGAGTCCCCCGCGGCAGATCCTGCCTCCTCCAGCCAGCTCGCAAATGTTTTCAAAAGTTACAGCGTCAAATATAAGGCTTGTGTTTCATTTTTTTCACATTAAAATTCACCAGATTGGTTACATTGCCTTTGAGACCCGACCCTATGGTAGCCCAAGAATGAAAATTACCCCTATGATGGCATACCATTTGCAATAGTAGACAACCCAAGGTATTTCAAACGGGGTATGTCCAGTCTTTTTTAGTAGCCACTTAGTCACAAACACTGGCCAAAATTGGCGTTTTTGCATTTTTCACACACAAACAAATACTAACGCTAACTTTGGCCAGTGTTTGTGACCAAATGGCTACTAAAAAAGACTGGACATACCCCATTTGCAATACCTTGGGTTGTCTACTATTGCAAATGGTATGCCATTATGGGTGTGAATTTAATTCCTGGGCTACTATACAGTCTCAAAGGCAACGTAATCAATCTGGCAAATTTCAAATGTAACGTGCTATATTTGACCCTGTAACTTCCCAAAACACCATAAAGCCTGCCATTTTAAGCGCAGTCTAACTAATGAGCCTGTATTACTCTCTTTTTAACACTATCGACTCAAATTTAAAATTGTACATGTATGCTGGACTACCCCATGTGTTATATGGGTCCCCCTCCCATGGCGCTGAAGGGGTTAAAACCCCTTTAGCCACTTACGTTATTCCAGCGCCGGGCTCCCTTGGCGCTGGTGACCTCTCCGCCCCCGCCGATGTCAGCTCCCCCGTCCCGTCAGCGGAGCCGAATGCGCATACTAATTACCTAAGTGTTACCTAGTGATAAAAAATAACGAGCGTTTCTTCACTTTATTTTTTTTTTTTATCGCTAGGTAGCACTTAGGTAGTTAGTATGTTTTTGTTAAGTTAGTTTATCAGTTTATTTAGGTCTTTGTGGTTAGACAGTGTCAGTTCTGTTGGGGTGGTTTGGTCTCAGCTTAGGGGCTGGGTTTGCTCACCCCTGAAGACTCATCCACCTAGTATTATGGCCATTTTACCTGTCTTCCTATTTATAGTGTGGGCACTCTTTTTCCACTCAGTTTGAGTTATAGGGGACTTTACTATCTACATTGGAAAAGGTTTTTTGGAGTGTTGTATTGCTCCTCCTTCTTCCTCCCTATATACTGTACCTCTCGCTATTTTGAGGATTCTTTCCTCCCATACACAGTGAGTTTTAGATGGTTTATAGGTATAGATAGGGCTTTTATTTGCCTATTCCTTTTCTATCTCTTTACTCCTGTATGAGTGCCTACTCTTCCTTTTTTATAAACTGGTTACTACGTACGTTTTTTCTGTGTGTACAGAGCTATCACCGGGATCCCCTTGTCACAAGGGTCTCCTCAATTTACTTGTATATTTTTGGGTTACCCCCTACTCTGTAGCTCTGAGGTAGGCACCACCCAGGATAGATTTTACGCTCACACGTTCCTTGTGACTGCGTTGATCTATCTTATTATTATTTTTTGCATTTTCTTTGATCATGTAGTATACACCTGCTTCTGGGGAGGGGGTGGGCAATGTCCTGAGACTAAAGCCACAGATTACTGCTGCTATTTTTTAAATTAATCTATGTCTGTAGTAACACTTTGTGATAGGTGCGCTGTAAATTAATCTTTGTAATTGAATGATATGAAGTTCCAGATATAATTGGCTATATTTCATATAACCGTGCCGCATCCTGTCCAGCTTTTTAATGCTTGGGTCAGTATTTATTTATTTACATCTGTCTTTGAGGGGTAATTGTACCGCTAGTAAATAATGCTGTGACAACAATTAACTACTCACTCAGCACCTTGCAGCAGGAAAACTCTCAAATCCTGTATCATTCATCTTCCATCTCGGGAGTAGAATAAATTGTGCAGTGTTTTTGCAGGATGTGATTATACTGGCCCACTAATAACGAGAATCATGAATGAAGAGCTGGGCTTTTTTTTGTAAAGAGATGTTTTCTGTTTACTAAAGCCCACTGGTATCATGAGAAAAGTGATGCAGCTCTGCTTGTTAAAATGCTTTGGTGGCACTCATTCAGTAGAGTCCCAATTGTTACAATGGAGTTTTTCTTAACTAGAATTCCTGCTTTGCATCTAAAACGAGTTGAAATGGCAAGGTCACAATGTCTATTTAGAAATTAGTTGTCTCTTCAGTTGTCACTCCTGTGCATATGGGCTGCTTGGGGTGAGATTAAAACCTCCCCTGAACTGTCAGTTATTGCTGTGAGGAAGTGCTTGGTTTGTGCTTTTATCTGACACAGGCCACATGCTCCCTAACTATGCTCGGTGGCAAGGAACCAAGAAGGTCATAAAGATGTCCATGCTTCATTTCCTACACTTTCCTTCATGGGATCCTCTGTTGATATCTGTGTTGTACATTCACAAATGCACAAGAATTTAGGACTAACATCAGCTTGTGGCAGATAAATCACCGAGCTGAAGAGGACCTTCTAGAAGAAGATGGCGGCAGCTGGCTGTGAGGGACAGTTTTGGTTAAGTAAGGGACTACCTTTTTTCTGCACCCCGGGGTCACCATCTGGCGTCTTTGCAAATTATGCAACCAATCCAGAAAGTGACAGAGCCACTTTAAATTAACATGCCTAAAAGGGAACAGCTAATATTTACAGATCTAGTCACAATTACAACTGCATAACACTTGCAGCATTAGACTTGCTAAAGCAATAATATATTTTATAAAATTTGACAAATTGTGTTTGGTATATAAAGTAATTTGATTATTGTGACTTAATGGTTATTCACTAATTGTAGAATTCACTGCGAATTTAACATTTGAGGCCAAAGGAGCAAGGCTGTAGAAATTATCTAATTCCGCTTCCAGTTGGGCTACTTCTTTGGCCTTACATTTGAAATTTACTTTGAATTCCAAACAATTCTCTCGTTGGTAAATGGTGTATGTTTAACCCCTTTAAGACAGAGGTTATTGTCCACATTCTGAACCAAAACAAAACCATGATTTTATCTTCAAGTGCTCCCAATTATATATATATATATATATAATATAATTTTTTTTTTTTTTTTGTTAATGGACAGAAGGGCTTTATTTATACAAAAAATAAAAAAATGAGGGTTTTTTTTGTTATTGTTTTTATTTTTTAACAGTGTTGGCAATAATAATGTGTATAGTTATGTGCAAATTATGAAAAGTAGTCATTTATTTGTCCTTATTTAGGATTTCTGTTTATTTTGGTAGGTCACGTAATACAAGCAGTAAAATAAAATTTCAGTTATTTGATATATTTTCCTTGTAAACTTAATATCCCTCACAGAAGATACAGTTGCTACACACAAGTATGTATTTATATAAAGTAGATCGCACAGGCTATTTACTTAAAGGGACACTATGGTCACCAATACCACTTTATCTTAATAAAACTGTTTTAGTCTATATGTCCCTGCAGTCTCACTGCTTAATTCTCTGCTATTTAGAAGTTAAATCACTTTGTTTATGCAGCCTTAGTCACTCCGACATGTGATTTACACAGCCTTCCTACCTGCTTCCTCTAAAGAGTTGTCTAATGTTTACACTTGTTACCAATTTCTTATCTCCTGCTCTGTGAATAGCTTGCTAGACCCTGCAAGGGCATCCTGAATGTAATTAATGTTCAATTTACAGAGAAAGAGCTAAAATCTTTTAAAGTAAATGACATCTAATTAAAAGTGCAACCATTTGTTCATGCAGGCTCAGTCACAGCCAGGGGATTACTTATATACCTAACCCTAATAACAACTGTAATCCTAATCTCAATCCTAACCCCATAAATAGAAGAATTCCCTTGATGGCCTTAATACAAACCTTAAGCTGAAACCTAATTCTAAACACATTGTAAATATAAACATAATACTTAACCTAATCCTAATCCCCAATTTAATCCTAATAAAGTTTTCCATCTGCTAAATATCAGTACTGATAAAAGCAAAGGGAAATCTGAATAAAAACAGAGTGAAATGTTGCTGCCATCTACTGGCTGTTTTTAGTATAATTGCTTCTGATCTTATCTTTTTGAATATAGTATGTCCAATGCATTGAGATCAGTGCTGGGCAACTGACAAAGCCAAGCACTATTCAGAATGCCATTGGAGCACGGAGAAAGACACTTCAGTGTCTATTCAGACCCTGGGGATCTCCTAATCACTTGATCCAGTGAGAGAATTACTGTAGCTGAGTTTGATTGCTCAGCTGTAGTGTTCTCTATGGATTTAAAAGGGCTACTTGCAGCGCTGACCTTCAGCAGTAAATGCAGCCTATCTGGGGCCACTACAATAGCCCAAGATAACAGAGGGGAACACCAATGTATTTATTGATAACTGGGTATCCTAGTATTGGCAGTGATTTAACCTTGCTCACATCATGATCTAGTTAAAGGCATTTAAAGGGACACTTTAGTCACCAGAACAACTACAGCTTATTGAATTTGTTCTGGTGAGTAGAATCATTACCTTCAGGCTTTTTGCCGTAAATACTGTATTTTCAGAGAAACTTCACTGGCTACTCCTCAGATGGCTGTTAGCGTTCCTTCCTGGGTCATGGCTGCCTAAAATGCATCCAAACATTCAGTGTCTCCTCCCTCTGCATGCAGACACTGAACTTTCCTCAAAGAGATTCATTGATACAATTCATCTCTGAGGAGATGCTGATTTGCCAGGGCTGTGTTTGAATTGTGCTTGCTCTGCCTCCTTGTCAGTCTCAGCCAATCCTATGGGGAAGCATTGGATCAGGCTACCACTTTTGATGATGTCAGCAGACTGCTTGTTTTTCTGAGGCAAACAGCATGCAGATTTACAACTTCAGTCTTGACTACAGTAAGATTTTGCTATATATATGGAGGCATGAGGGGCCCAGGGGGGCTATATGGTGGTTTTAACACTATAGGGTGAGGAATACATGTTTGTGTTTCTGACCCTATAGTGATATTTTAAAGAGTTCATCAGAAAAACTGGGAATTTAACACTGCTCACACCAAATATGCAGGTTGTTCTGTGCCGCCATACACGCTTTAAAGCACACTTTTATGTAGGATGGTGTTAAGGGGTTAAATAAATTGTAGTGGTGATGTATATATTGCTTGTAAATTACTGTCTAATTTTTCTGGTTACCTGTAATCACTCACTGTTACCAAATTTTTTGTTTGTTTTTTCTTCTAACTTTCTCAAATTTGTTTCTCAAATCGAAAAGAAGGTTGAAAAACGTTTAGGGTTTTTGTTTGTTTAGCAGAAACAAATCTACTTTTTTATTCCTGATTTGTCCAAGGAATCAATGTATAAAGTGGAATTATGAGGCAAACCTTTGTTGAGCTAATTTGTATACATCTACCAGAATCCCTTGCAGTAGTGAGAGCACTGTTAAAGTGAGATTTCTGTGAGAAAAGCAAGTCTTATGGCTTGACTGGTGTGTGTATTTGTGTTTAGCAATGCATTAACAATAAATAAATATATCAATTAAACACTAGGAGCAAATATATTCGGTTATATTTAACTGCTTCAGTTAGCATTCACAGAGAACACTGATAAAGCAAAGTATTTTAGAAAGCAACACCTCCTGCAGTTAGCCTGTTGGAACGTAGCAAAACCATCCTCTCTGTGTACACTTTGTAGATAGAACTATGCTAGTACAGAAACCAGATTAGTCACTAAATTGACAATTGTTAGGAACCTATTTCAAATAAGTCCAAAATAATCAAATTGGAAAAATTCACCCGTCAGATATGCTTCCAGTTTAGCTACTTTGGCCTTAATTTAAGCTATCTATGGAGGACTGTCTTTTCAATTGGTTAGTTTTCAGTTGCGCATATATATCCACATATTTTGTCACAAAATGTAATTGTAGTTGTAAGGGTGCCTGATTCATTATGCTGTAATTAGATGGACACCGGATCGATGAGAGCTGCAGACCGTTAGCATTTGTGGTGAAGTTCTGTTATACACTCAGGCTGTGAGTATGTGGAAGTCAGTGCATCACAGAACTTTGTCTCGGGGGCTTTAATGGACCGACTGAATAAAGGCTTGGAAGAAGAGTAAGCTGTCTCGCCAGTCTCTGTGAAGCCAGGAAAGGGATAAAAGAATTCACCATTCCAACAATTTGATGCTTCTCATGTAGCCTTATGTTCAATAATTGTGTGTAAATGCGTCACATGATACACTATTAGCCATAATACTGATCTTTTATTGGTTCATTCGAATTCTCCACATTTCATCTCACCTCAGATGTATCCTCCTCTCCACCAACTTTATTAACATTGTGTTGTAAAAGCTACTTTCAGGAGTTGAGACTTACAGTTTGTTTTTCCTGGCAGGATCCGTCGCTGTATACAGTGAAAGCTGTTTTGATCTTGGACAATGATGGAGAAAGACTACTTGCCAAGGTAAAATATTTTCTTTTCCTTAATGGGGTTTGGGGTACTTGGGGACTGGTACTGATCATTAGGAAGCAATTAAATGCAATTTTAGTTTGTGTTTGGAATAATGCAATAAAGATAATGGTACTAGCTGTATTACGTTTGCAATAAGACAAGCACTTAAGAGGTGTGTTTTTTTTTTTTGTTTTGTTTTGTTTTGTTTTCCCAAAACTAAAATTTTTCCTTAAAAACAAAAAAGTGAAATTTTAAAACCAGAAATGTAGACCCGTTCAAGACTGATGGATACTGTAATTAAAAGTATTTTAATACAACAACCCACATTTTACAATTGGTTAGCATAGTACCACAGAAAGGATTTTATTTCTGATCTCCTTCATCACAGGCAGCTTCTAATCGCTCAAAATCTAAATTCTTAATAGGTTAGTTGCACCCTAACTACTTCTCCTTAGAATATAAAATACTGCTGAGGTACTAATTAGCATTTACTCCCATTATTGTTTTATGTTATCTGCAGGGGAGCAGACTAGGGTAAACTGCATGCGTTGGTAAGTGCATGCTGTGAAGCCTTCTCTGCCAGGGGGAGTGGAGCCTGCCAGCACATTTTATGGTGGAATGTAGTCCCAAGTATTGCGCATTTGGATCGTGGATGCTGTGCACCAAATTCAAACCTCTCTTCTTAAAATAGATTTAAAAGCCTTTGATATCATTCAGTTTAAAGTGACACAATAAACACCCAGATCACTTCATCTTGTTGAAGTGGTCTGGGTGCCATGTTCCTGTCCCCTTAACCATGCAATGTAAAACATTATGTGTGTTTTGATATATCATGTTTCTACAACTATTCCAGAATTCCCATCTTCACATGCAAATGAGCCCAGACAGGCATTGTGTTTTAGAATCACCATGCATTTTTGCACGTACAGGGGTTTTAAAGGGTGTGTTTTTTTTGGAGAGTGAGGGGATTTATTTATTTATCACCAAAGCATGGGTTGTGATCCAAAAGGACAAGTGATCAGAAACCACCACTGTACAGTTTCAGCTTTTTTTAATTTATTTTTATTCTTTATTTTTGTGGTTTGGCTTGAAAAGCACATTACATCACATGCATAAAGTGAGCGTATAGCTTCATATATAAGTATTACAACATTCACATTTAACACAGGTGCAAAGAGATCCCTATTATTTTTGTTTTGTGTATAGTAACTGCGAAACTCTGCGTGCCTAAGCAGTAGAAAATAGAGCATTGGACTAGGGCTGCTAGTGATAAGCATTATGTGCCTGCAAGCTTGATAAAGTAGTGGTGTAACTAAAGGTTTGACATATGGCACAGTTGTGTATTTTGCAGTGGCACAGCTTCCTCGTAGCTTAAAGCTTTAGTCAACTCCAGCCTGGAAAGAGGAATGCCTGGGTTCTAAATTGAATGTGCAGTTAAGCTCCACTAGTAACATGGTTGGCATAAGGGCAACATTGCACGTTTGGAGGTAATGTGTGTGGGGGAGGGGGGTGGTATGAGCTATTCCAAGGTTCATGCTAATCGCTTACGGAGCCAGAGTGTGGAGGAAGGAAGTATGTAAAACAAGTTAAAGATTAAAGAACCAAACTAATAAAAATTTGAGACACATATATCAGCCCCTGTGGGTATCAGGTAGGATAATGGGTCGTCTCCAGAGCAGCTCCACATGCACAAAGAGGGTAATTCCTGCTACAGTCCAAGATGGACATGCTTCCTTCTGGGCCGCCTCTGCTGGTAGGCCTAGAGATTGGATGAAGGCGGGTACCTTCGAGAGATGTTTTGCCAGCCTTGTCCACTGTCCATCAGTGGACAAGGGTACCGTGGGAGAGCCTCTAGATGCGCCCAGGTGGGCCACTCTGTCAGAGTCCTGCAGAAACTTAAGGAGGATGTCAGTAGATGCGTCTTGTGGTGCGTTGACCACCTTTGGGAGACAGAAGAAGGCATCCACCACCACCGGTTTAGCCTGTTTCGGCGGTAAAAGGGTGGCAATTAGCCTCTGGCAGTAGTGGGGGCAGTTCAGCGTTAGAGATGAATTCCAGGACTCTGCGTATCCTCACATTTCGCGCCTAAGCGCTGTCTTCCATGCTGGCTAGATGCGCCAGGTCGATGCATCTCTTCTGTAGCGAATTCAGGGCAGCATCCGTAGCAACTTGTGTCAGTTTAGTGCTTCTCATGTCTCCTTCCACTGCCTCAACCCGACTGGTGAGCATGATAACCTCCTCCCTCACAAGTGCCATATCTGCCTGGAACATAGCTTTGATATCTTGTCTCAGTGCCTGTATATCTGCTTTAGTTGAAGGAGCAGAGTCACCTTCCCCAGTTTCAGCCTTTTGTGTCTTGTTAGCATGGATCCAATTCTGGTCTGGAAGTTGAAGTGGGAGTTGCCACTCTTATCAAAATACTGTTTTTGGTCTTGGTTTTGGTTAAACATTGGTCATGCATTTTTTTTTAATCATAACTTAAATATTGTTGGGGGACGGTGGGAGACATATCTGCAGTATTTAAAATGGAAAAATCTATATATCCCTGGATAACTTCATTTCAACGTGCTAATGAAACTTGAATTTTCTCCACAGTACTATGATGAGACATATCCAACCGTGAAAGAGCAGAAGGCGTTTGAGAAGAATATATTTAATAAAACCCATCGGACGGACAGTAAGTACTGGATTCCATATGTTACAATAAAAGTTACTCGTTTATCTGTGGCTTTAACTTTCCTCATACATATAGGTATAAAGTGGAAGAACCAAAAAGTGTTGAGTAATAAGGAGATATAACGAGGTTGTAATCTTACATGGAATACAGAAGTATACATTGTTATAGATCTATGTAATTCTATTTAGATGTTATTATGTTTACTGGTTAAAGTGTGATTAATCGGTGACTTTGTGTCGCAGAGCTTGTGATCCCAAAAATGGGGGCTTTGCTGCAAGTGATAGACTTGTGCAATGTATGGTCATATTTTATAACCAAATCCTTATAATTTTAAACTATAGCTGATTTAAGTACTTCAGAGTTTTTACGGAGCATCCCCTCTTCCACACTTTATAAAAATAAAAAAAAATATTTCAAATTTTAATAAAAACTGTCTCTCCTATAAAGGTGCTAAGTTGCATCCTCCCAGCTTTCAGAAAACTTAAAGCATACGTCAATGCTTCTGGTAGAGAAGGATTGGATCCATTGCTTCTCTACAACAAGCATTGACTGCATCCTGTGTCACATTGATTATCAGTGAGAAGCACTGAATTTGCTAGTAGATCAGTACTGAATATCTCCCTGGAAAAAAACCGGCAGTGAGGGATCTCCTCAATGCTGTTTTACACACAGGCTAGGTATTTAACAGGAAGCAAGGAGGCCAAGAGGGGCTAGGGGTTTCAATAATACACAAGTGTAAATATTGTTTTTATTTACAACACTGGAGTCTTCCTGTAACCTCTTTGTGATAGGCACTAGTCTGGCAAGGCATAGTGCCACGGAGACTGGAGGCCTATTGACACAGAGAATTGTTTGTGGAATGTGAGAGATGATTATGTATATCCAGTAATAGTTTTGCAGATCTTGCTATCTGTAAGCGTTCGCTAGATTTAAATCCTATCCAACTTTAATCCTGAGTTTGATGTTTGTATGTCACTTTAACAAACAACTTCTCCAGGAAGCCAAAAACGAGGTATGCCAGAATGATCTACAATGTGATTCCTGTTTGTAACCTAAAAATATGGTACTGGTATACATGTGTGGAAATGCTCTACACTGGCGAATACAGCAGAACACAATTCTATGGGTTTTTTGTTTTTTTTTAAGTAGTTATACTCACAAGGCCTTTGAAATTCACCATTGAAATTCAATATGTATGTGAAATTTTAACAAAAAAAAAATTACCACTAAATTGCAGAGTTAAAAGGCTTTTAAAATACTCCATATTATATTGTTCAGGTTGTCTTCTTTTGCTAATGGTATTCCATGATTGGGGTATAGTGCAGTAAAGGACTTCCATTTTGTTCAGTGAAAACTGAAAGTCGGAAAAATTTAAATAATGTCCTATGACAAAAAAGCATGTCCTAAATTATATAATAAGCACATTTGTCAGATATTGTGAGAATACAAACACATACATTTGTATCAGTATACCAAGTTTTTACTTAAAAAACATATTTCACTCCTTGCAATATTTGTATGATAACTACCCAATATGAATTCTTGACATTTTAGGTATTTTTACAATCAGGAATAAGTGAATCTGTTTTGAGCTTTGGTTGTGTTTTTTTTGTTTTTTGCGTGTGTTTTGTACTTTTATTATTACTATTATAAGCAGAAGAAACCTAAAACAAAAGTGCAAAAAAGGCTAAGGGGTTAAACAAAGATGCACAATTAAATGTATTTGTTTATTTTTAACCCCTTAAGGACACTTGACATGTCATGATTCCCTTTCATTCCAGAAGTTTGGTTCTTAAGGGGTTAAATATTCATTATTTAAATATTGTAAATGTACACTTTTGTTCTAATTTCCTGGTTTTCTCCCACACAGGTGAGATTGCTCTACTTGAGGGACTAACGGTGGTCTATAAGAGTTCCATTGATCTATACTTCTATGTCATTGGAAGCTCGCATGAGAATGAGGTATCTATCATCGTTTTGCTTAAATAGTTAGACATCAGCTATTTCCTTCCGAGCACACCTATAACATGTAACTCACTAATGAATACAAATTTATTTCCTGGAATCATCCTGTTTGTCAAAACATTAAAACAATTGTAGTCCAGTTCTGCCTAAGAATATATTTTGCTAAATGCATGCAATTTACAGTCCTTGTTTGTTCAACATCCTCATAGCTAAAATGATTTCTAATAATCGGATTCTAATGTGCTTAAAGGACCACTATAGGCAACCAGACCACTTCAGCATAATGAGGTGGTCTGGTTGCCTGGTCCAGCTAGGTTTAACCCTTTTTTCTATAAACATAGCAGTTTCAGAGAAACTGCTATGTTTATAAATGGGTTATTCCAGCCTCTAGTGGCTGTCTCATTGACAGCCGCTAGAGGGCTTCCGCGCTTCTCACTGAGATTTTCACAGTGAGAAGACGCCAGGGTCCATAGGCAGAGCCCGGCGGGAGGGGGACCCTGAGGGTGGGAGCACCCTCAGGGCACTATAGTGCCAGGAAAACAAGTATGTTTTCTTGGCACTATAGTAGTCCTTTAATCACTTGCCTTGTGGTTTTTGTGTTGGTTTTTTTTTTTTTCTTTCTCAAACTCCTTTAAGAAAGGGCAATATGTTCCTTTTGCTGTTTAAATTCCTGAAGACTAATCAATGAGGGAAAAGGGAGTTACTGATTTTGTTTTGGACATTTGTCTGATTGGGTTAGGGCAACAGTTGGTTTGAATTTTGGATTTAAACTGTTTATATGCAGGCTTAGGGTAATTGATGTAAATGGAACTCCTACTTCTGTAATTGGTGTTAGTCACTTGCTAGTAGATTCAGCGGGCTCCACTTCCTAATAGACAACCTGGATGTCGTTCTGTGACTCGTATTTTTTTCACCTCAATGGGGAATTCTGTGTGTTATTGGCTGCTTCTACACCAGCATATTTCAAATCTTCAACAGTTAACATAAGATAAATATTGCAAAAATGTTACTATGGAAAATGTAGTATTCCAGAAACTTGTAAACTGTAAGAAAAAGAAGGCACTCCTTATTATGTTGAGAAAAAAAAAAATCTCAATTAATTACAGAAATGTTTAATGTATCTCCCCCCTTTTGGTCATAGTTATTTACTATTATTTATGGCAACTCTGCCACATACATGGTGGGATTTAATACTAGTCTATTACCAGCATGACTCCTACAGCTGTTTAGGCAGTTCGTTTAACATTTATATTACTGGCTATTTAGACTGCAGGCTCTTTTCCTGCAATGTTGCAAACGTATTTTGGTAGATCTTTGCACATATAGTTTTTATGCACTTGATATACTCTTTGTTCTAATTATAAAGTCTATTTACCTTTGCATTTAGAGATCTTCAGTTTGCTACATTTAATGTATCTCCCCCCTTTTGGTCATATTTATTTGCTACTATTTATGGCAATTCTGCCACACACCTACTTATAGCATTTCTTCTGACCATATTACTATTATTTTTGGACTAGTCGATTCTATCCAATTAGATCCTAATTTTATTACTTGTTTGTTTAGTATCTGTGTGTTTCTCCCCCAAGAGGGATTAATAAAGAGTTTTTCGTTTTTTGCTCTCTGCGCTCCACATATTTATAATTGCAGAGTAGCTTTTTTCACATAAGGATACAAGGTCTTTTTGGGAGGCAGATTGTTTATAATCTGCAACCCATTAGTCCTATTTTCTAATTACAGAAATGTAGACCACTTAAGGACACATGACATGTGTGACATGTCATGATTCCCTTTTATTCCAGAAGTTTGGTCCTTAAGGAGTTAAAGGGTAACTTTCGATTTGTTTACTTATCCCTGTATTTAATAAATATGTAAGGTTTGGAAAAAAAAATTCAAATCTAAAAATCCACACCTCTTTATGTTGCAAATGGGCACCTCCATGTTCGTTACCTTCTTTGCACCTGACAGTCAACATAGAGAAATCATACAGAGAAAATTATAAATGTAAACAGTGTTTCTATTTCTCCTTTACAACATTTTCCCTGGATTATGCTGTAATTTGGTAAATTATGTAATATTAAAATAAAACGGAGCATCTCATGCGCTCTAGTTGATCTATTTTTTTTTTTTTTATGATTATTTTTATTTTTTTTAATGGTGTAAATGTCCTGGAAAGTATCAGGAATAGCTTTATTTTTTTTATTTTTTTTTCAGTAATTGCAGTTCCAGAGACTGTTAAATGGTTTTTACTTAAATGTATCTCTCTTGCTTTATTCACATTTTAAAGACCAACTGAAATAAGTTAGATCAACAATAAGGCATTTTTAGTGCTACAAGTCTACTTTATAAGCTCTAGTATTCATTACCCAGTCAGGATGTAATGTAATTTGAAATGCTACCTCACTGTTCACTACTTCCAATTATGCTGATCAATTGCCAATTGCTTACCTGCCTTGTTTTATTTAAGACTACATCTATTGGTGCTTGTAATTTTTCATTGAATAACTTAATCTGTTCATCTTTTTGTCTCTGTATAGCTCATGTTGATGGCAGTTCTCAATTGTCTTTTTGACTCACTAAGTCAAATGCTCCGGTACGTCTTTGATCGCATTTTATGAAATAAACCCCATCCCATCCCCAGCGCGGTGATTTGTGGGTTTCTGATAGAGATATATTTATTGAAAAGGCAAAATATGTTGCTGTGTGATCATTTAATTATGTACATAATATCCTGTGGTGTATTCCTGTTAGAGTAACTAAGTTATTTAAAAGAGTGTTGACTTTTCTGGAGTGGAATCTTGGGCATAGTACAGTAATGCTTCTATAATTCAATCTACTAACTTGCACATTATGACTTGGTTTAATTGACCGTTTTCTCACTTTATAGAAAAAATGTGGAAAAGCGAACTCTGCTTGAAAACATGGAAGGACTGTTCCTGGCAGTTGATGAGATAATAGATGGCGGGTAAATAAATGAAACGTAAACATTGCCAATAGGGGACTTTTTGGTTTCTTTAAAACCTAAAAACTGAGGTGTAAGAGTATATTTTTTCAATTTTATTTAATGTCAGGGCTTAGGGCAGTTGTAGTTTTCATTCTTTACAAAAATATTGTAAACGTGTCCATTGATTTTCTTGAAGAAAAATGAGTGGGGGAATAAAGAGCATTTTATTCTTCATGTTTGTACAGTGGGATGACAAAATGCTACACATGGAGTTGATGCACAATTTTTTATTTATTTTTTTTGTTTGTTTGTTTATTTAAAAAAAAAAAAGTCATACAGATTAACCCCAAAGTCTGTGTTCCAGCATTGAATGTCCCTGCTTCACTGTCCTTCAGTTTTCTCAAATCCAGAAAACCAGAAGGCTTTTGCAGAGTCGAGAAGCGGCGGCACTAATTGGCTAAGAGCCAGTCAGCTTGTCAAAATCACCTTGGATGATTGATATTCAAACACAATCATACCCCACTCCTCCAAAGCAGTAAAATAGTTGCAGTGAGTTCAGTTTTGCTAGTTCTATCTTGGACAGGCAGGATAAATACAGTTAACATTTAGGCTGCTCCCATGCATTTTATATGTGTGTTGCTTATTTCCCATATCCCTGCCCATATCTTTCTATAAATGATTACAACAATTACTTACTAATTTCATATGGGACTACCTGTAAGCTAGACTCTTACTTCCCTACTGCAGAAACCCTTTTCTGGAGGATCTATGGGAGTACCGAATATTCTCTAGTATTACAGAGCATCAGTTTTACAATCCGTGCTGACACTCTATGCCCCTAAAGGTACACTCTAATGAGTAGACATGGGAATGGTTAAATTGCATTGCATCCTCTGATAATTACCATATGGACCCCAACACCTTAGACACTTTTTAAACCTTTAATATTTCCTACTACGGAACGAACGATTAGAGTCTGGGAACAGATATTTGGCTTGATAAGGGTAAGGAAGCACTTTCTACCGAATTCTATTATTTTAGCTTTAGCAAACACCTGTGGTTGTCCATAAAGAAATGGGTAGGAATGGGGATAGCCAATGTATCACAGTTACGGTGAGTATAACCGTTCCCTTCCTTGCAAGAGACCTATACGCTGCCACCAAGTTACATATTCACTTACATGCAATTTAAGTGTCCTGAACTCACAGGTCATCACATGCCCTAACCCTTCCTTTCAGCTAAGACCAAGGTTTCAGTTAGTGCTGGATAGATGCTGGCACTCTCCACTAAAGCCAAAAGCTATGTCCGCATTCTACAGAGCATTAGAAGAAGCCTTACCAACATTCGCACAGGCTTTTCAAACACGTCATGGAACTTTTTCAAAGTAGTATTGGAAAAGGTCACTTAACACCCTGAAAGAGGTAACCTGATGCTATCGTCATGTCAAAGCACACAATGAATTAGTATATCAGTGGTATATGACCCCCACCCGCTTACGTAGGATTTACTACCTCATCTGCTTGCTGGGGTTGTGGTGAGCATGAGGGTAAAATGGTACATATTTGGTGGAAATGCCACAAATTACAAACGTTCTGGAAGGAGGTGGCTAGCTTACCCTGACTATTTATTATTAATGTTCGAGAAATCCACAATCTTCCTTGATAGAGCTTTGGCAGCATGTCGCCTCATAGCTTTACATTGGAAAAAACACGTGCCATCTTTTCCAAAACTGCTAGAGGGAATAAACCTTAGCTAAACATACCAGCAGTTGTGTCTGTCTAGACTCTAGACAACATCTCTCAAAGGGAGAAATTTTAATGGATATGGTGGCCGTGGAGGGAATATACACTGGTGAAAGGACAGTCCTTGAAATAGAGTAACGTATAAGGCAAGCTGATTAGAAAATACTACATGAGATGCCAACTAAGTAATACACCTGATCAGGTCTTCTAACATAAATACTACATACACCATCAATTCAGTCTGTTTCTGTTTGTATTCTGTTTGTTTTGTATGCCTTGCTATTGGTTCTTTTCCTTTGTACACTGATGTTGTGTATTCTGTAACAATGCCACCATTCTTTGACTACCCTGTACATTGTCCTCTGTATGCCATATTTGGAAAATTAATAAAACACCGATATCAAACATCGGAAAACCTAAAGGCATCAGCACGGCTGATTGGCTGAGAGTGGTCAGCTGACGCTCTCAGCGCCATTCAGTGACTCCACGTTCATAAAACTGGTTAGAAAATAAGCATACCTTTTTTCAAGCCAGTTTTGTGAACAGGGAGCTACTGACGGCTCTCAACCAAACAGCAGCGTTGCTGCCTGATTCTGCAAGACCCTTCCAGTTTACTGACTTTGAGAAAACGTAAGGACAAAGAGGCTTGGAGATTAGGCGCTGGAACACACACATTGGTGTTAAACCATTCGAGAACAGTTTAACCCATTAAGGTGAGCCATGGACATCCTGGCACCATAAAATCTTAATTTTGATTGTTTTTATTGTGCCCAGAGTGCACTTTTTTTTCTTCTTTCAGTGCTTATAGTAAATTACAAATGATCCTGCAATGCCACAACAGTCAATGCAGGCACAATAACATTAAAGGACCACTCTAGGCACCCAGACCACTTCAGCTTAATGAAGTGGTCTGGGTGCCAGGTCCCTCTAGGGTTAACCCTTTTTTTTTTTTTTTTAAAACATAGCAGTTTCAGAGAAACTGCTATGTTTATAAATGGGTTAATCCAGCCTCTAAAGCCTCTAGTGGCTGTCTCATTGACAGCCGCTAGAGGCGTTTGCGTGCTTCTCACTGTGACAATCACAGTGAGAAGACGCCATCGTCCATAGGAAAGCATTTACAATGCTTTCCTATGAGACCGGCTCCTGCCGCGCATGCACATTCAGCCGAAGAGGAGGATCCCTTTCCTCTCCCCAGAGCCCGGCGGGGGGGGGACCGTGAGGGTGGGTGCACCCTCAGGGCACTATAGTGCCAGGAAAACGAGTGTTTTCCTGGCACTATAGTGGTCCTTTAACAGTAGAATAGATGTGTGGCGTTGTGAGAATATAGCACTAATTTTATGTTTTGGTATATATTTAGGCTAATATGTCAAATGTAGGGTCATCTAAGTGACATTATTAGCAAGATTCCTATACATAAACTTTGCTGGCATATAAAATAATATGAGGACATTCTTGACTACATGGTGTAGCTATGGTAAGGTAGACTTATTAGAGATTAGTACATCTTACGGCACAAGTGTAGGATTTCTGGTTACTGCTAGGTTATCAGGCCAGAGTGTAACTTTTTAAGATGCAGATCAGCAGTTTGATGTGGGTTTTATTCCGCCCTCTCTCCATTAGAAATATGATGGGGTAGCCTTTCCTCCTCACCAATATATTGTGCAGTTGAAGATGCATCCAGGTTTAACAGATTTGCAGGTTTAGTTCTCCTGCAGAAATTAACAAGACAACATCCCCAGTTCATAGGCTTGCCAAATTCCTGGCCGCTGACCTGTAGGGGCCAGAAAAGTTTACAAAGGGTCAACCTAGACACCATAACTACTGCGGCACCGTTGTGTTTTTGGGGCTAGGAGTGCACTTGCACCATCTCACCTTTTTAAGTTAGTGTAACACTCAAAGGCATGCAATAGGGACCAAAATAGCAATAATAATTATGACATACATTATCAACCCCCTATCTTCACAATGTACTAACACATTCAACTTTCCCAACTCATTATCCTCTCTGGTTTCTTAAATCCTTTCTCTGCTACCTTCATTAACCCTCTCACATGACAGAAAATGGTGTTCATGTTTGGGGTGAACCCCACCCATTTTATCTTTTTGTTTTTTAATCAGATGCAACCATAGGTCTACCTACAACAGACGAGGACAGTCCACGTGTTAATATTGTCCATATATATTTTATATCCTTTTTTTTTATTTATTTTTTTTATTCTTTCTTTCTTTATTTGTTGTAGAGGGGCCGGTACTCTTAATTTGTCATATTATACAACTAAAACTGTTCTTTTTCACCCATTCATTTGTTTTTGGTTTTTAAATGCAACAATATCAGAGTAGTGTGCAAACTGTAAATTAGGCAAATGTTCTGTTCCTTGGTCAACTGTTTGAAATCCCTTTTTACACTGAAATATGAAAGGTGCGTGTGTCAGAGAGTGTAGTGTAAAGATTGTCTTCTATTCTCTCTGATTAACCATTTGAATATGGCAGTTCAGTGGTTAAAAGTCTAGTATAAACATCACAGCACTTCAGATTCCCAAATGAAGCCTCATGTGATTGTAAATAGACGTGTTAATCTGGAACTTGTACATTTTCCGTCTGTGCTTGTTTTTGCTTGAATTGTGATAGCACAGCAGTTACTACCATAGAAAGCCAGGGAATGAAACTGCTTCTAACAATGTCATTACGATGTAAGTGCTGCTATGTATGCATGTAATGACATCATTAGGAGTGATTCCATCATAGGGCTTCTGCAGATTGCACAGTCGAGATAGGGCTATAAAGGGAAACTAGAATGGTTTTCTGTAACTCTCTCTGTACCAGTTTTAGCATTCTTTGTTCTCTAATTGCAGTGTTATTTTGGAAAGCGATCCTCAGCAAGTAGTTCACCGGGTCGCCCTGAGGGTACGTAGCAAATGTTTTGTTCTTGATCTTCATTAGTATGTTCTTATTGATTTTTTTCCATGTATTTCGATTGATTCTCGCTAGATGACTCCAGCCATTTTAAAGGACGTCATGTACTGTGAGGAGATGGTGTTGCCACTCGTTGCCCGAAAAGAATTTAGTCACTGACTGCTTGTAACACATTATTGTCCAGTTACCTTTCCTAGAGAACTTAACGGCAATAAATATAAATCTTATTCAATTTTAATTGCTGGTGTGAAAAATAATCAATTTCTCACGTAGGGGTCTTGATTGCACGATGGACTCTGCAGCCAATTAACAAACGTACACTGGTAATTCACTGACTAACAAATTATTTATTTATAAAGCAACATGTACACTGTTCACAAGAGACACTATATAGCCGTTTGACCCCTGAGATCTATGGTGGATAATAGCATACGTAATGGAAGGGGAAATTGAGTAATTCCACATTAAAGTGTGACGGTCACATCTCCAGTGGCTGAAATTGAAAGAGAAACGGAAAGGCCAGATGTCTGCCCTAATACCAGTGCTTGTGATTCCTAGACCATCTTGCTGGGCACTTTGTTTGAAATCACTTCATGTGATCTATTATAAGCACTCCGATAGCCATCTATATTTTGCAGTGCTATGTTTTTTATTATTGAAAAAAAATAAATATGCAGTTGCTTACTGTGGTGTATTCCCTTATCTTTATAGGGTACCCTTGTAAAGAGTTTTATGCAAGAAATGTAAAACGCGTTAAGAGTTTCAGCCACTTGTGTTGGGGTCTGTGCTAGTCTGACACTTCTTTGTATATAAACCACTTTTTTCCAACGGACTCCCCAGCATTGAAGTGGTTAAGCTCCTTACCACCATATGGTGTTTTTTCTAACATATGTCCCCTGGGTCTTCCTCCCAGTTTCCTATGAATGCCTGCTGAGCAGGCAGATTGATGTCCCCCATTAACATGCTGTTACAGTGCTAGCTGCATGCTCCCAGGGATTTGTGCCCAGCCTCTAACAGAACCACCTGCAGAGAGATGAGAAGTTGGAACACAGTAGCGGTATCAGTGATGCTGCCTGGGTTTCGTTGGTAGCGGAAGGGAAGAATTAACTGCTTTCTCTTTATGTTAAAGCAGGTGGTAGCAAAAAATGGTAGACGTCTCTGGTGTAGACCAAGAGGATAAATAAGGAGAGTAGTGTAAAGATTAAGGTTTCGTGACATTAACATATGCTTCTCTTTTCCAGGGAGATGATGTTCCTCTCACAGAACAAACAGTTTCTCAAGTAAGTTACAAGATCTACCTAGCAGTTCGTTGGCAACTATTTATGGTGCCTCTTTCAAAATGAACGTTTTTATTTACTGAAGTCAGAGTAAGTTTCATGTTTACGGTCAAAATAACCAAACTGGAAAAATTCTTAGTCAGACATGCTGTTAGTTCACTCTGGCCTTGAATTTGAAATTCACTTTAAATTCTGACTTTAGTGAATAACCCTGTTAATGTAATGTTACACCCTGTCAGAGGTGTTTAGGAATGACATATAGGGCATATTGTGTGTGTGCTTAATATTATAGTGTCTTTTATTGCATCATTGTGTGTTCCTCGTTATAAGGCAACTTTTTTTTTTTTTTTCTCTCCCCTTTCAGGTTCTTCAGTCGGCAAAAGAGCAAATAAAGTGGTCACTTCTGCGATAGGTGGATAATTTTAAGTACGGCACATATTCATTCCGTCTTGAGAAGACTTTCCACGCTCCTCCCTCTACTTTAACCCCTTAAGGACCAAACTTCTGGAATAAAAGGGAATCATGACCTGTCACACGTCATGTGTCCTTAAGGGGTTAATCTGTATAATGAGCATTACCTTTTTATAGTTCTAGGTCATTGCACTAATGTCCTTGTGTCATTGTTCCTGCTTATAAGGACAGTAATTCAATGCTCTGCAGCTCCCTAGAACAGCAAATTCCTTTACAACTTTTGACTTTATTGCCTTTGTTTGTCCTATCACACGTATAGCTTCCTTATCTTTAGAGAATGCTAGCAAGTGAGAACATAGCACCACGTTGTTGTAGTACTAGAACATCACAAAGGGTCATTACAAATTCAACCATTGTCCTTACAATTAAAGCCACAGAGCTAGTATTTCATTTTTCATGTTGCCTATTATTGGCAGTAAATGCCCATACCACAGAGTAGTAGATTTCTCCAGGGGGTTTGGATCATGTACAGTTACCTTTTTTCTTTATAACATTATCTTCAGGAATAATAATAAAGAACCTCCATATCCTTTCACGCTCTACCAGAGACCACAGCCTTGGGCAATATGATATTACATTAAATGCAATGTGAGTTGACAAAGTGGACCAATTGTGTGTGTATAAAGGGCATGCCTGTGCTACTTCAGGGTTGCCCAAGTCCATAACCGAAGTATCTTAAAAACCTAGGCCACTGCTTTCCAAATGCAGATGGTGGGTTTCTGACCCCCAGCATGCCTAAAAAGTCTGCATTCCTTGTTATATAGCATCAGTGTTCTAGTTGATGCTGTGGACCTACAAAATTTTAAAGGCCTGCATTCTGCATCAGTAGGACCGCACTGGTCTAGGTATAAAAAAACATTCTACATGAAAGCTGCCTGATATGTTTTCATGCCTGAATTGCACTCACATGTGAAACCGAAAGCTGTACAAAATATTAATAAACATTCAACCAACATGAAATGAGTGTGTGAACATTATTTTTCTTCTCTATAAATGCATAGATTGAGCACCCTCATTGTGATATTGCTGTCTTACAATGTTTCAATTTTTATAAATCATTTTTTTTCGCATATCTGCTTAGTATATATTGTCTCATATTCTATTAATATCACCTCCCCTTTCATTGTTCATCCATCCTAATTTTCTTACATTACAGCATTTCCCAGCACATACAATCCAGAGTTTGACTGTAAAATGTCCGTTATTAACGCTAAAACATTGCATGAGCAAATTACATCACATTCATAAGGTTATTCACCAAAGTGTGAGTTTACTTTAATTTGAAATTTAAGGGTCCCGTAGCCAAACCAGAAAAATTCTCCCAGTCGATTATGCTTCCAGCTCGGCTGCATTGGCCTTAAAGTTGAAATTCAGTTTGAATTCCCAACAATTCTAACTTTAGGGCAAATAGTGTGGATGTTTTACTTTTAGTCCTTTTGAAAATGTTTAATACTTTTCTGTTTAGAAACAATAAATTCATGTTTTGAAATAGAACAATGAGCCTTTAACACATCCACAAAATGTTTAAAAAAATAAATAAAAAAAAAGTAACTACCGGCACTATAGCTAATGAAGTACTAGATAGTGAATGCGGTTATCCCAGGTGATGTGAATGCAGATTTTAAAATTGTGTTTTTATTTATATTTACATATTTCGGAGCACTAAAATCTAGTATTTCAAATCCATTGGATTTTATTTAATAAAAGTCTTCATTAAACTACAGGTGCAGAAAAGTGCTTGTTCTATATTATCTTATTTTGTACTTCTTGGATTTAACAAAACGTCATAAAAAGTCCTGAACATGTGGTCAGATATTCATTAAAGCTTCAGTAGCCTCATCATATGTCAGACAGCACTGGAAATGACAAGGATTGAAAAGAGTTTACTAGTTAAAGGACCACTCTTGGTACCTTAACAACTTCATCACAATTACGTTGTAAGGCTGTGAGGAGACAGGTGCTATCTTACCTGAAGGTATGAAGTTTTAACTGCAAAGTCTACAAGCCAGAGCACGATCGTACTGCATTATGTTCGGGGTTTTAATCTGCAAACCTCAGACTGAGCACTGCTGATAGGCTAAGAGTATCGGATATGTACTTTTCTCAATCGGTCGCTCCTTATCAACTGAGTGCGTCAGCTGATTCTCCCTATCAGTGGTCAAAGGCTTGGTAAATGAAGCAGTACTGGAGACCGTATCTCCAGAAGGATATTGATACTTTAGAGAGAGTTCAGAGAAGGGCTACTAAACTGGTTCATGGATTGCAGGATAAAACTTACCAGGAAAGGTTAAAGGATCTTAACATGAATAGCTTGGAGGAAAGACGAGACAGGGGAGATATGATAGAAACATTTAAATACATAAAGGGAATCAACACAGTAAAGGAGGAGACTATATTTAAAAGAAGAAAAACTACCACAACAAGAGGACATAGTCTTAAATTAGAGGGGCAAAGGTTTAAAAATAATATCAGGAAGTATTACTTTACTGAGAGGGTAGTGGATGCATGGAATAGCCTTCCAGCTGAAGTGGTAGAGGTTAACACAGTAAAGGAGTTTAAGCATGCGTGGGATAGGCATAAGGCTATCCTAACTATAAGATAAGGCCAGGGACTAATGAAAGTCTTTAGAAAATTGGGCAGACTAGATGGGCTGAATGGTTCTTATCTGCTGTCACATGTCACTATGTTTCTATCAGACATTGAGCGGAAATGCTGGCACAGAGCCAATGGGCACCAGCTTACAGACAAAAGTTGATTAACGGTTTAAGCAGTAAAGGGAAGATGGCGCTTCTTTGCACTATAACAATTTCACTGTGATGTTATGGCGCATTTAATTTAAAGGGACACTTTAGTCACCAAAACAACTTTATCTTTATTGAAGCACTATGTTGTATAAATCATGCCCCTGCAGTCTCACTGCTGAATTATGTCATTTAGGAGTTAAATCACTTTGTTTATGCTGCCCTAGTCACACATCCCTGCATATGACTTACACAGCTTTCCTAAACACATCCTGTGAAGAGACCACTAATGTTTTAACTTCCCTTAATTTAGAAATGATCTCTTGCACTGTTAATAGCCTGCTATACCTTGCAGAGCTTCATATGTGTCCCAGTCACAACCAGGGGAGGGCTGCATGGACAGAAACAAAGGTTATTTAAATCCTAAATGGCAGAGAACTGAGCAGCGAGACAGCAGAAACAGTCTCAAAAACGGCTTTATTAAAGCAACACTATTGGGTCAGGACTCTGTAGTGTTAAAACCACCATTTAGGTGGCTTGCATCCCCTTAACACCTTTAAAAGTGGCTAAAACTTATCTTTTTTCCAAAGCCTCGCGAGTCCATCAACCCTGGCCCCGCCTTTAGCATCATCAGAACTGATCTCAGCCAATTCAATGCTTTCCCATATGTAAAGCAATGAATTGGCTGAGATCACCAAGGAGGCGGGGTCAAATGTCAGCAGTACTGCACTCTGTCTGAGGAGTGGCCACTGGAGGTGTCCCTAGGCTTTAATATAAACACTGCCTTTTCTCTGAAAAGACGGTGTTTGCATGAAAATGCCTGCATGGACTGTCTATACTCACCAGAACAACTACAATGAGCTTTAGTTGTCTTGGGGACTATAGTGTATTTATATAGTTGAATTGGTAGGAAGTTATAAAAAATACTTATACAAAACCCAGATTCTGGATACAAAATACATATTGGGGAATTATTCTTACAATATTTTATGAAATGCAACTTTCAGATATTTTTTTTTTGCCACTGCTTTGAAGTGAAGCTATGCTAAAAGATTAACTTTTATAACTAGAAGGAAGGAAGTCTCTTAGTAAAAACAGAATACTTGCAGTGCTACACCTAGCAGAAGATGACCTAATATTTTACAACTGATAAAACCATACTATGTACTCTTCCACGTCATGATCTATAAAACTTCATAGTTATCCAAGTTGGGGAAGACTTGGTCCATCAAGTTCATCCACTCGCAGATCTGTTAATGCTGTTGATGCAAAGAAAGAGGAAAAAATAGTTGGAAGTGATTGCCAAATGTGCCATAGAAAGTTTGCAAAAAGTCCTCCTTAGATCAATAAGCTGTTCCCACAAATTAATTATATCCTTAAACATTCTGTTCCTTAAATATATATATATGATAGTACGAAGACATCTTTTTTTCAGAAGTAAACACATTTTTCCTAGCCTTTTTCATAACTTAAAGGAACACTATAGTCACCTAAATTACTTTAGCTAAATAAAGCAGTTTTAGTGTATAGATCATTCCCCTGCAATTTCACTGCTCAATTCACTGTCATTTAGGAGTTAAATCACTTTGTTTCTGTTTATGCAGCCCTAGCCACACCTCCCCTGGCTATGATTGACAGAGCCTGCATGAAAAAAAACAACTGGTTTCACTTTCAAACAGATGTAATTTACCTTAAATAATTGTATCTCAATCTCTATATTGAACTTTAATCACATATAGGAGGCCCTTGCAGGGTCTAGCAAGCTATTGACATAGCAGGGGATAAGAAAATCTTAATTAAACAGAACTTGCAATAAAGAAAGCCTAAATAGGGCTGTCTTTACAGGAAGTGTTTATGGAAGACTGTGCAAGTCACATGCAGGGAGGTGTGACTAGGGTTCATAAACAAAGGGATTTAACTCCTAAATGGCAGAGGATTGAGCAGTGAGGCTGCAGGTGCATGTTCTATACACCAAAACTGCTTCATTAAGCTAAAGTTGTTCAAGTGACTATAGTGTCCCTTTAAACTTTCCATTCCCCTAATTTGTAAGCCTAATCTTCCTAATCCATGTTTTCTTTCTTTAAAACGGAAACTCATAATTCACTCTTCTTTCTTAGTAGGATTTATTTTTAGGAAACCATATGAATATCTAAAGCTATTGTGAATTTTTGCTTTTGGCTAAGCTTCCTGGGAAATGGTTCAAACCAGCTGGACCGCGGAAGGTTAGCTTTTACATAGCATATATAAAAGCTATCACATTGCATGGAATTTAGGTCCTTAATTTCAGTATTAATCCCAGAGCCCATTGTGAGAGAACACAAGCTCCTTCTAGAGGCCATGATTGAGGATGGAGAGGAGAGAATTGTATCCAAAGACTTTGAAGGTGTCTCTAATGTCGACTTCAAAGACGAAATATATTTTGAAATTGACATTTTAATGTCGACATGAAAGAGACGTTAGCAGAGTTTGAGCTTACACCTTACTGCATTCCAAGTGCTCTGAACTTGCAAAGATTTGTAAAGGTTCATTCGCTCGTACTCAAGGTCGTACCTACTTTAATAATGCAATCCATCTCCAACTTTCATCTGCCTTTCATTAGCAATAGCGGCTACAGATGAGAATTTAAAATAAAAGCTGCCTGATAAGTTTTAATAGGCATTCACTGAAAGGTAATTGTTTTAAAATGTAGTTGCGGAGCGTGTATAAATGTAAACACGGGCTCATTTTTTTAATTTTTTTTTCCAGCATTACATTTCCTTACATATACAGATGTCATGGGTTAAATCTTGTAGGTGACCTCTGGAATGGACAATAGCAGACATCCTATTTCACTGTGTGAGAGTAACTAAAATGACTTAACCCATTAAGGACCGCATGATGGTTGGTGCCGTCATGCTATGCGTTAACACCATTTGACGTCATAAACCGTCATGCATTAAAAGTAACAGCAGGGTTAAAATAATAGATAATAGTAAAAAAAAAAAAAGGGGGTGGGGGGCAGAACCAGGTATCTTTCAATACCACAATTACCCCAGACTGACAGAAGCAGTATGTGCAGCACTCTAAGTGAGCACTGCACATAGCTTTTTACATTTATTTAAATAGCTCAGCTGCTGTAATTAAGAATAAGTCCTTGTATGAGGGAGGCCCCCAGGGTCTGAAAAATCTTTCCCCTCTGTTCAGTGATCGGTGCTGGGCTTTGCCAGCAACCCAGGACTTATCACAGTTCCTTGAACTGCAGCATAAGAGGGAGATCTCCTTCTCATGTTGCTGTCACAGTACAGAGTGCTCACAGAACCCTCTGTACTGTGTGAGTTGAGAAATCCTAATGCTCAAGTTAGTACTGGTGTCAGCAGAGGGAATCCCTCTGAGGAGAGAGAAAGGGTTGGATTAGTGTTTCAGATTAGGAGAATATGTGTCCATGTCTGGTGTCACTGTGATCGATAACAGTAGCAGAATACAAATATGTTTGTTTTTTTACAGTAGTGGAACACACATGGTCTGAGAATTTCCCAAAAATAAAACGTGAAAAAAACCAAAGATAAAATTTTTTAACCTAGGTTTGTAATAAAATGGTTAAAATGCAAGTGTCAACATTTTTTTTTAAAGCTCTTTGTAATATTTTTTCTATAACTTCTACAAATTTATTAAAATCGTAGACATATTGGGCATTTTAACAAAGAGGACAAATTAGATTAAGTTAATCTATTAGTTAATCTATTTTAAAATTGTTTTCTTTAGTTGCACTTGGTGTATAGAAATTACTAAATATAAAACAGATAAAAATGTTTTTTCCTACAGGTTTTAATATTTTATTATGTATACATATAGGGTATCAAAAGAAAGCATTTTTTTAAATTTAAATGAAAGGTTGAAATTGTGGTAGATTGAATACATGGTAAAAGGGTCAAAATGGCCTTGGTCATAAACGCGTCACATCTGAAAAGAGCCTTGGTCCTTAAGAGGTTAAAGGAATTTACAAACACTTTACCCAGAGATCTGGCTATAATCTTAGGCTACCCTTTATTACTGGAGTAATATCAGCTGTGACCTCACATGCCAAAAGAAAAATTGTCATACACCACAACCATAGGCGTGCGCAGCCTATTGCATTAGGGTGTGCACCCTAAAGCACAAGCACACGCCGCGTATATATATGTATGTATGTATATATATGGATATATATATATATATATACATATACACACACACACACACACATACACTGCGTGTTTGTGAGGGTACTGTTAGTGTGCTGTGTGTGAGGGTGCTGTGTGTGTGTGTGTGTGCTGTATGTGTGTGTGGGTGCTGTGTATGTGTGTGGGTGCTGTGTATGTGTGTTGGTGCTGTGTATGTGTGTGGGTGCTGCATGTGTGTAGGTGCTGTATGTGTGAAGGTGCTATGTATGTGTGTGGGTGCTGTGTGTGTGTAGGTGCTGTGTATGTGTGTGGGTACTGTATGTGTGTGTGGGTGCTTTGTATGTGTGTAGGTGCTGTATAAGTGTAGGTGCTGTGTATATCTGTGGGTGCTGTATGTGTGTAGGTGTGTGGGTACATGTAACGGATCGCCTGGCACCCCGACTGGGTACCTCCATTGAAGGATGCTCCTAGCGCTTCCTGAGGACTCCAAGCACTCTGGCAGACACCACAATCACCGAACCGGAGAACAAATTCTCCCAAGCATATGAATGCTGTAGACAGTTGAATAGGAACCATACGAATAGGTTTACTCTCCTAGCAGTCAAACTGGAACAGCATACAATAAATCCTTCCCCCAATAATGAGACGACACTTCACTTTGAGGGTTAAAACAGGAACTCCCTGTACTGTCACATACAGTCTCTTTTATTCCCAATCCACAAACATAGTACAGCCCACAGGGCATTACAAAACAGCCAATCAATCCATACAATACACCCAGACACTCCCACACAAAATACTCCCCTCTGGCTGTGATATGATTACTGAACACAATGGGTAATCTAATTATCACAGCCAGAGAAATACAGTTTCATAAAACACATCACAGGGACCCCAAAAC